TTTTATTTTACAGATATGTGTTATACAATTATACATTATCGTGATGACTGAACTGAAAACAGCGAGCGTGCGAATATCTGCCATTAGTTATCTAGCTAAAAAATCACGTAATTATAATTTTACCGGTATTATTGGAAAATCACTGCTTGAAAACTGTACCTTTGATCAAGTGCAGCACTTGAGACTGTTTTAGGAACATAAATGTTTTCCATTAATTTTATATTATTTTTCGATTTTTCAAATATTATATATTGATTTCTATAAAAACAACATATAATAATAACGTAATGAAACCAGGAGCGATCGAACATTGAACGAAAAATTGGAATTTATGTAACCTAAATAAACAAACAAGGCATAACAACAAATAGAAAAAATCAAGTTGGAAGGGCAATGTGCATACGTCAGTGACAAGATTAAACATTCCCAGCAACTCTCGGTTTCTTCATCTGATATGAGATTGGTGTGTTGGCGTTGGATGAGTTGGGAACTGCAACGTTTATAAAACCTCCATTCTTGGGGCAAAACAATACCAGAAGTCATAAGCGAGTGTTTCAGTAAGTTACAGTGATATTTCATTGCCCTATCAACTGGCACGAGCAAACATAGATTCAGATATAATACATTTAAACGTAATTGATATTGAAAATAATTCACTTATCTGTATCACCTGTCTACGATCCTCGGGAAACCTAAGTTTAAAATAATTTTAGGTAGTATTTTCACAGGTGTTTTTGAAGGATACTTAGAATGCAAGTTTGCCTTGAACGGACAAAATTGCTGTAAGCCAACTGTTGTTACAGTTATTCAAGTACATTTTATGTGGGGCTTTGTAATGATATTAATGTTGAAAAGCAAGACTGGGGTATTTATCTAAAGCTTTTGGTTGTGTGAACCATGAAATTTTACTACCAAAATTTAGTAGTCTGGCATTATATATATATATATATATATATATATATATATATATATATATATATATATATATATATACACACATATACATACACACACACATATATATCACATTCAGGTTCTATGTTGTGTTCAGAGTCAATTTCTCGGCATTTTTTTTTTACGAAAATGATTTTAAGTTATTTTTGTTATATGTATGTTACTTTCAAATATAATTGATAATACCATTTCACAGGAGTAACTAGGTCCGTTATTTGTTTTTTTTTTTTTTTTTTGTTTTTTTTTTTTCAGGATACTATAATGTTGATCTAGTATGTTTCTACTTTTTTGTTGCATCAATTTAACAACTTACAACTTGAAGAATCATTGATTTCCCATAGTGGCGTTCTCTGAAAATAACTTACAGAAGAAACGGTATTGTGCACTGGATCACAACTGTTATATACACATTTTTTTAGAAAAGTAATTAACGTTTATTGGTAAAAATTTTATTCAGAGGGACAAATAGTTTAGGAGATAATTCTCGAATATTGAGAATGTTGCTTATAGCATATATGTATTACAGATGACTGAGATATTTAGTATAAAACTAGTACTTTGAGATATTAGCTAGATATGACAAAATGTTATTATCCGAAAAGAAAAAATATTTAAATATCACAATTTTAGTAATAGTGTTATTTTTGTTTTCTCAGCGCAGATGTAAAAGGAATTGCAAATATCTGTTTGGGTGAGCTACAAGGGTAACTCAAATCAAGATTTAATTAATGATAGTTTTCGATTTAATAAACACACTCATCCTAACTGCAGTAAAGCATCTGGGATAACGTAGTTGGCAATCATATTAATGCATGACAAGACATTTCAAACTTATGCTTGTCACTTTTAAATAATGACATTGCTTTTGTGATAATATGCCACAAATTTTATAATAGCAACTGTGTGAAGCAACATTTTATACTATCCGTAGTATATATGGAAATTTATTACCTGAGGATATGGTTTGGTTGTTATTATTGTTTTTATTCTATTTGTATATCGTTTTACTTTTTTTGAAGGAATGCTACAAAAAATAATGGAACCAGCAAGTGATCGCTACTAAAAATACTGTAAGCAAGATTGGTCATAGAAGTGAAAATATGTGGACTTTTATATTTATACGCAGTGTTGTTACAGTTTTAAATATTTTATTGGTCTAACAAAGAAGGTACAACTTACCCACATGTTTTATTTAATGGATTCATTTTTTATTCTTTAGTGCATCAGTTCATTTGGCCAAGTTTAAATATCTAACAGACAAAGGCATGTTTATAAAAGGTTGCGTATATGGATGGATTGTTGATAAATAATTTAATGAAACATCATAACATATAATATACATAATATATTTTTTAAAGCAATTCAGTTCTCAAAATTTATCCATATGTTTGACCCAAAGCTGCCCTTTTGAAGACCAGCTGTCCAACAAGTTGTTTGAAACTTTCGTATTGTAGATCCTGTAACTGTGACACATCATCATGTGATCCAAACTTTAACTTTAAATTGTATAATTTATTCATCTGGAGAATATCACTTTATACCATGCAAGATGTTCCTTTTGTTTAATTTGCTACTTCAAAGTGAAGGAAAGGGAATAATGGCAGACATGTAATTGTAATATACATAGTTAGTTCAAAATGCTCACCAATTTAAGATCTTGTTGGCAAATAGATAAGTGATACACTTCTTGCGTTTGCTCAGCTGATGAAAAATGTCCTTTATTTTCCTGTTAAATGTTTTACAATTTTTCCTGCAGTAGAAAAACAAATAATTGCAAATAATTAATGAAGTCGAAAAAGTTTTATAGATCTGTCAAAAAGATAAATTAACACATTTTGGATACAGAGAGCCATTAAAAATAATTTCGATTTAATATGCAGGCAGTTATTTGAGGTGCCTGGATACACATTTTGAGAGAGAGTCCCCACACAACTGCCTTATTCTCACACCAGAGGGCTTCACAATCCTACGTAGACTAGGTTTAAATATGGTTTTTTGAAATATTTTAACGACACCATCTCAAGAAAAGTGTTAAAACACTTGAAAATCCTATATTTTAATTTAGTGTTACAATATATTCGTAAGACATTGGTGAAACCTATTTAATGCAAGGTTTCACTATGCTTTAAGTTATAGTTTAAATATTTTAAATATGTTGTTACAATATCGTTTTAAAAAATTGTCAAAATATTTTTAATTAAATTCTATAATACATTTCTCAGATATTCTTTAACAGCTAAAAGTGGATTTGAAACATTGTTTATATGCTGTAAAGGTATTTGATTGTAGTAAGATAGTGGCACGTATAACATTGTTGTAGTATTTCTGTCATATTTGATCCACGTTTCAAAACTTTTTCAAAACATATTTTAAGTTTTTAGAAATATGTAACTTTTTTTTTTTTTTTTTGCTGCTTGGGATGTTACACAAATATGAGTATTTTTTGAGAACAACAACAACAACCACTTTTGTTATACCACGATTGCAGTTTGTTAACGAATACTAAAGTCAATAAAATAAAATAAAAAATTAACTAGTTTTTAAATAAAGAGTAACTTGTGTGTTCTTTGTATTTGCATGTGGTTATTAGAAACGTGGCTTTACAGATTCAGCTCAAGCGAAGAATGAAACAGTTATTGTCTTTGTTCTATACGTAGAGATGGTAATCATATAGAGATGGGGCTTTTCCGAAAATTGGGAAAATAAAACCTGCAAATGTTATATATGCTCATTACTAATATTACTTAATATACATTTTATCTAGGCTTCACGTAATTTGCAGTATATACCATGGAATATGATAGTGCGAAGTGCTATGAAGATCGCGTTGTTTATGTGGTAAAGTAAGTATTATATACAGTTTATCCAATATGTTTCTATCAGATCGCTAAATCGTGTTCAATGCGAGAATACCTTTGGAAACCAAACCTTAATTTACAAAACATGATTCACACACAGGGCGTATTTATGCCGACGAGCTAAGTTTATACAAGTATAAATTAACTATAAAAAAACTTTTTTATAGCAACCTTTTATTTGTAAATGTATTAAAAAAGAAAAATATTAATTATCGAAGTTACAGAATCTGTAGAGCTTGTAAGACGTGGTTGAAAAACCGTAATAAACTTTACTACGAATTATTATGCTTATATAAGTTTATATTTAATATATAAATTCTTTACGCAATAGAGAACGTAGGCCATTTGCATAGGCCTAAGCGTAGTACGCACATATTCAGTAAGAATCTTAATTATTCACAATATAAATAGTATACCTCATTTGCATAATCGTAGTAAGCTCATATCGTGCGTAATGCTGTTAACTACTCCCAATATAGAACGTATAGCTCATTTGCGCAAGTGTAATAGGAACATATCTTGCGCAAAGCTGTTAATTATTTGCGCCAATCTTTTATAAATTTACTAAATATAAATTGATGTAAACATAATAATTTGTAGTAAAGTATATTATCGCTTTTCGACCACGTCTTATTAGTTCTACTAATTCTTTAACTACTACAAATTTTTTTTACTCTTTTTAGTGCATTCGTAAATACAAAGTTGGTTTTAAAAGATTTTTTTTATAGCTAATTTATTTTTCAATTTTTAGTCTCTCCCTGTATTCAAATATCGTGATGTTAGGTTGAGTTGGGTTAGGTCTTCTTGCATTTAAAGTGGTAAACGAACTTAAATAATATGTATTTTATATAAATTTTACATTTTTAGCCCACGATTTTCCTTAGCATCACAGCATCTCCACTATCGCATTTGGTAGTATGTAATGCGAATATCGCGAAACCCGTAGTAAATTCTTATTCTGTGTGATATCTGAAGTCGATATATACCTTTTTCTGGGAAAAGGTTTGGTTGTTTTCGGAAAAGTCCACATTCTATATAATTACCACATTCCACACAAAAATTAATATTTTTCCAATATTTATGTACAGATCCGCTCATACGGATTATTATTTCCATACGAGAAACTAAGTGAACTTAAGTATAAGAATGTAATATTTCGATATTAACTACATGTTGTCATCACATGTAGGGGGCATAGCTCAGTGGTAGAGCATTCGAATGCAGGTCGAGAAGTCCCTTAATCAAGGCTGAGCGCCCCCTTCCTAACCTTTAAATTTACGTTTCTGTGACTTTTTTAAGTTAGACCAAACGGACCTACCTTTTTCTCAAAATGCAAATTATCATTCTACTAAACTGAAGGATTTTTTTTTTTTTTTTAAGAACTGTTCCTTCGATTCAGAAAAATTTGTTTGAACTCTGTGAATATAACTAATTAGGGCTCATTATATTTTGAAGACAAAATATTTAAACTCTATAATTAATATTTCGTTCTGACAAATATGTATTAACTAACTTGCTTCGAATCAGATAGTGTTTTTGAAATTAAATCTCTTATAGCTGTGTGTAGGCGAACCTGATGCACAGTGAATTACCACCTTAACGGTTGTAATTTAGGTCCTCCGTTACCTAACTCTCTATGGCTTAACATTCGGCCAGCAATAGTGTGGATTGGAAATCATAGTTATATTGTAGATGAGAGTTGTTCTTTGATTGAAGTTAATATTAGTTCAAGACGTAAGCTTTTCCTTCACATTATTAACCCATTGGCATAGAGTGGATAAGTAATGAACATTTTAAATGAATATTTATCTCATAGTTGATCAAAATAAGCGGCTGCGCTGTCTTTTACACCACAGCGTTCATGCGTTCAACCTTTCATTATCATTTCAAATACGTCTGCCGTTGTACATGAAGCAATCAAAAATTCACCTTGGAACACCAACCTCCAGTGGCTGTGAGGTCAACACATCTCCTTTCCCCCCTTACGATCTGAGTTGCAAACCTGACCGGAGACCTGGATGAGGCTTTTTGCATATGGGAAATGTAGCGGATGTTGCCTGTGGATAGTGAGAGTCTCCAAGGTATTCTGTTTCCCTTCTTTTTGCAATACTTTACCTTCTCCATTAAGAAGGATACGTTTCAGACATGCACGAGAACTACCAATGCATATCACAGTGCCAGAGAGCACCACATTCGCTATATCACGCACTCCCTTCCCCACTCCTTTTATGTATACATACCAACGAATACTTACATAATCTAATCACATGGTCAGTTATATGGTCAGTTATAACTAACAGTCCTGAAACGATGAACAATTTCTCACAATGTTAGTTCCAGTTTCAGCCTATGTAGGCGTGTTTAACTTCGACACCTGTTTACGTTATCGACTAGATGAAAGTCATGATCCAGCGGGCTCATTCCAATAGCACAAACCTCCAACATTCAAGTGATACACGAATACCACATTACCTCAAAATGTTTAACACGCCCCTTAGTTGAAAATTATACGCTGCGTATTCAATAAGGACAAACGTGTACTTAAAACCGAAATTCTGCCCAAGGGTTTCGGGAATACAAGGCGTTTTTTAAATTATGAACTGTTCACATTGGGAAGGAACAAGGAGGTACTGCTAAACATGGACCAGAACCACTTTCTTCCTGAATGTCGGCTACGAAGGACAAAACCAGTATAATGACTGCCGCACCCCGACGCTGAAGGCGATCGCTTCTTATTAAATCGCGTGGTTGGTAAAGTAGCTTGTCGGTCCAGATAGCGTGTGCCACCAACAAAGACAGCAAGCTTGCTGAAGAGAAATATGGATAAAGAGGGCAAATACAGAAGTACACAAGATAGTGGGCGAGGCTGGCACACGCAAGTCACGTTATTTGTGTCAACCAATTCCAAACACCACTTTGTCCAAAAATAGAAATAAAATTGAGTTAATGTCACTATAGTATTGTTTGAGTTATGTTCTATCATTTTTTACGCCGTAACTTTACCTAAGTTAATTTTTCCCATTACTAAATGTATGTCAAAATCTAAATACATTTCAACAACAGCTTTTTCCGGAAATGTTTTTTTTTTCATTATGACACTTTGTCCACGTTCGTTTAATTGGTTGCATAAATCACTAACCCAGCACGACGTCCTAAGGTTTCATTAACGTTTCTATTACTCAAGTGACAAGATTTACCAGGATAATTTCATATTGAGCTATTGTTTTGGTGCAATGCTAAAACGAGAACGAATTCGTCTAGAAGATAAGAAGTACAAGAAAAAACAAGTCTGTTTGACGAATGTTGTGTTTCATTATAAAGAAGAAAATGTTATAACTTTGATCATTAGCACGATATCCTTTTTCAGGTAAGTGGCCAGGTGACTGAAAGGTGCGGTAAGTAGAAACTCGGTATTTGTTTGATATTTTCGGCGAACCGGAAGAACCTGGTTAATCTATATGTGTGTTACCTCGAGGCATAGTGTCTAAACGACCGAACGTAGGAGTTCGTCTCGAAATTGCTGCACTGAAGTGATAGAGCTACTCGCCCAGTTTAATTGATAACGGTGGGAAGTTGAAGAAGTGTCATAGCTACGAAGTCCTCATTCGACATAGGTTGTGTCTTGTATCGGGTGTGGTGATTACGACTTGGGTAGAAACGTTCGTTGTGTAGTTGAGCGTGTAGTAAGCCTTGTACTTTCTTACTCCAGTACTTTTTCTCAAAGGCTTTACGAAAGTGTTCGTAAGAGTGTATTTGTTAGCGCTCAAGCTCCCACATTGACGCATTTCGATCCAATTTTGCACACTGTAAAATGCATCTCTAGTATTTTATAAAGGGCATTGGGTTCTCAACCTCACGACCCTTGAAGGGAGGTAACTCATCTACTAAAACTCTCGATTAGCTTAGTATAGGCACAAACTACACTACAGGCTGCGGAGGTGTAGAAATTGTAAGTATTAGACGTAACTGAAGTTGATTGGTGAGCAACTTTAAGCGACTTAAGTGACTCTTCCAAACCGCGAAAACGGTGGTCCATTTCAAGCACTAGGACCCTACTTCACTATTAAGACCTGAGTTTTAATTTGAAGATCCATGTGCGGTTTGTAATTGTACTGCGGTTTTACGCAATTCCGCCAATTCCGTTTCTGTTCTAGCGCTACGCGTCTGATATTCTTCGGTCGTGATATAAAGTTTGGTCGCTTATACGTCGTACCACCTCTTACAAAACTTAATTTAACGGTTTCAACTTTGAACTGGTTGAACTGAACCAGCATTTCGGCACGAACGGATTTTAATTCGCTGCGAAAACTATTTTCTCAGTCTGCCTGACTACTATTAAGCTCCGAATGTAACCTCGTTGCAATTTCTGATTGCAATGTTTTTATGGCTCACAGCTACTTCTGTTTTCAATTTCTCATAGCTCGCAGCTACTTCTAATTTCAATTTATGATAAGTAGCAGCTACTTTTGATTGCAGTATAGTTTGACTTGTAGTGATTTCGGTATGTAGTGATTGCATATCTAACTGTAATCGTTGCTACATAAATACTACCACGTTTAGGAGTTAGTTATTGATTTAAATGCTGCGCTATATGTGCTGTGTCTAACTGCTGCACTGGCGTAGCAATGAAAATTACGGTACCCCAATATGTTTGTCTCACGTTGTTAGCGACTGAGCGACGTAATGCCCGTGATTTGCCCCTCATTTGTAAGTTCGTTCTCAGTCGACACTATTAAATCTATGGCTGAGGTTTTGTTCTGCAGTTCTCTATGCTATTGAATGCCTCCTTAAGCGAACTACATTCACTACTATGAATTATTTTATTTATGGCAATATAATTACTGTAATGTGTTAAATAGACACAATGTGTGGAGAGTTTATAGCCACGCGTTTGGGGGTTCAAATTAATATTGTAACACCTCTGATATGTGTTACAGTATTACGGCCAATCACATTGGCTATAAAATATTATTTCTGTGATATGTAATATAAGAAATGAATGTGTAATGTAATTATAAAATATTGTTGTATATGCGAGTTACAAGCAACACCAACCTGCACATTGCGCATTAACCTATTTACCAACATTTGACTTTACTAGTTCTAGTGACATAAATACATTTACATTTGCTTGGGGAAAAATACGACTTAGCTGTGTCGATAGCGGAAAATAACAGCAACTCTGCCGATGTGTGGAGTTATCCGTCACTGGTGTAGAATCCAGGAACAGCTCTCCCGCTCATCATGGACAGCACATCTCCGGGTGGGGAACAGCGAACTTTTCCTCTGCGGGCCGGAACAGCGGAGGTGGGTGCAGAATCGGAACTTCGCCAGAATCCGCAGCCAGTAGCACTCCTCTCGTAGAATTGGTTCTCCGAAAACCAGAGACCGCGTCGTCCTTGGTGCGAAGTCGAAAACCCCGAAGTCCTCCCTTACTGGGCCGTCCTTCCTTCCGGGCTCATCGTACAGCTTATGTCGAATTACTTCTTTTAAACATTTATAGGCTGAGAATTTCAATAGTGCGTAAATAATTATGTATCTCCATCGTAAATATCAAATTTTGTCAATCAAACATTATAGATTATCTTTCATACTAAGGACTGACTTCTTTTCTAGCTGGCCTCTCACTGATTCCAAATTATAATGAATAAGATTTTTTTGTTCTATTAAACTATTGTTCGAAAAAATTAAAATGTGATAGGCCGGCTGGTGTGGCCTGATTCTTTTGAGAAAACAAAGGTATTGCTTGTTACAAAGACATATACTCGTGCAAAGAAACCATACATAGTCATTAGACTTACATAGCTTATACAACACAACTGTCAAAATAAATAAGTTTACACATATCACATTGAACATACGCTAAACATCTTATACATTCCATCAAAGTTTGGAATTTTAATAAAATTGAAAGCCATATTGTAATTATATTAAAGTCATAAATATTGAAGTGTTACATTACAATACACGTAATAAAAATTATTTTATAGCCACGATCCAAACGGTTTCCTCACTAGTTGCTTTAGTTATTTATTTAGATTTGTATCTTTCATACAACAGTAATGAAAGTAGTCTGTGGTTTTACTGACTATGTTATAACATAGGCCAATCATTTATATTTTCTTCTGCCTCATATATGGGCGCCATTTCTGTGACGATACGAATAGGAAACCACAAATTATCACCAATGCGCTATGCAGCAATGTAAAAATGTTCTATTAAATATTGTAATTTTAATAGTAATTTTATAATTGATAACA